TAAGCCCAAAGCAGGAAGAGAGGTGGATAGCAGATATTAAGGTAGCAAAAATCGGTGGAATTCAAAATAGAAAAACATTCAAGAAAATTAATGAAGCGAAACATGGGCTCTTTGAAACGATGTCAATAAAATTGATAAACCTCTAGTGAGATTAACAAAGACAAAAATAGAGAAGAAACAAATTACCAATATCCTTAATGACAGGAATATGATTATAGACCTGCAGCCATTAAAAGGATAATAAGAGAAAACTACAAACAAGTTTACATTCAAGCAATTACAACCAATTCCTCAAAAACATCAATGTACCGGAACTCAGCCAAGAGGAAATTGGTAACCTGAATAAACCTACAATAATGAAAGACACTGAATTTATTATTTAAGAACTCTTGAAAAAAAAAATCTAGCCCCAGATGGTCTATTGGAGAATTTTGTCAAACATTCAAAGAATTAATACAAATTTCATATAATCTCTTCTAGAAAACAGAACATGTGCCAACTCATTTTATGAGGCTGGTATTTCCCTGATAACAAAACCTAGACAAATGCCCTCCCACCAAACAAAATTCCACCCAATAACTCTCATGAACTCAGGTATAAAAATCCTCAACAAAATTTTAACAAATCACATACAACAATGTATAAAAGGAATAATATAGCACATCCAGGTGGGATTTATTCCACATATACAATGTTCACATATACATCTGAAACTCAGTCGGTGTAATACACCATATCAACAGGCTAAAGGAGAAAAATTGCATGGCCACACCAATTTTAAGAAAAAAGCATTTGACAAAATTCAACACTCTCTGTACACTAGGAATACAGGAGAACTTCCTCAAATTCAGAAAGGACATCAACAACAAAAAAAATACAGTTACCATTGGTCCTAATGGTGAGTCTAAATTCTTTTCCTCAAAGAGCAGGAATAAGTTAAGGAAATCTGCTTTCATAAGCCTGAAGTCCTAGTCAGTGAAATAAGGCAAGAAAAAGAAATAAAATGCATAGAGACTGGAAGAGAAGACATAAAGATGTCTTTATTTGCAGATGACTTTGTCTATGTAGAAAATCCCAGAAATCTTAAAAACAAACAAAAAAAACCCCAAAGTCCTAAAACTAATAGTAAATTCAGTAAAGTCACAGAATACAGGATCAGCACACAAAAATAAATTGCTTTTCTATATACTGAGAATAAACAAGTGGAAACAAAATTAAAAGCACAAGACCATTTACAGTTGCTCCAAAGAAAATGAAATATTTAGATATAAATCTAACACAAGCTGTACAGGATTGGTATGATAAATATGATAAAATGCTGATGAAATAAATCAAAGACCTAAATACTTGGAGAGACATACTGTGTTCATAGGAAGACTCAACATAAAATCATCCACTTTCCCTAAATTGTTAGATTAACCCTATTCCTATCAAAATCCAAGCAAGCTTTTCTGTAGACAGAAACAAGCTTATTCTAAAAGTCATGTGATAAGAAAAGGCTCTAGAATAGCTAAAACAATTTTGAAAAAGAACAATAAAGTGGGAAAAATGAAAATTTATTGATCTGAAGAAATTTACACATTAATTTGTAAGTCTCAAATTATAAATTACCTAAATTAACCTTCAATAGGTGAATAGTTAAACAACCTGTGGTACATCCATACCATGGTATATTACTGAGCAACAGAAAGAAATGAACTACTGACACACATAATAACTTGGATGAACTTCAAGGAAATTATGCTGAGTGAAAAAGCCAATATGTATATTGCACGATTCATTTGAATGATGTTCTTGAAATAACATAACTACATAGATGGAAAACAGATTAGTGGTTGCCAGGGAGTCAGGTGGGAGGAGGAATGGGTGTGGCAATAAAGGGGTAGTACCTGGGGGTACTACAATTAATATCTTGATTGAGGTGGTGGCTAAATGAAGTTACACATGTGATAAAATTGCATAGAGCTACACACACACATGCACAGAGGAGTACATGCATAACTAGAGAAATCTAGTTATCTACATGTATAACTAGTGAAATGTACCAATGTCAATTGTCAGATTCCTAGTTCTGAAATTGTTCTAGTTACACAAGGTGTTAACATGGGGTAGGGGAGGCTGGGTAAAAGGTACATGGAACCTCCTTGTAAATTTCTTTGCCCGTCTGTGAATATATAATTATTTCAAAAAACAACCCTGATTGCTGAGACTTGCCCCCATAGTTTTTGATTCAGTAGATCTGGGATGGGGTCTGAAAATGTGTATTTCTAACATGTGCTTCGTTGATTCTGCTGCTGGCAGTTTAGAGACCATGTGCTGAGAATCACATAGCGCTCGCAGCAGACTGTGGGAAATAGGAAGATGAAAAGCAGGAGTTTCTAGGGTCAATATGTTTATAATTTAGTGAGAATCAGACAAGTGAAAAAGTATCTATAAAACAAGTAGATCTAATACAGATCCAGAAAAGTGATAGTTGTAGAGGTATCTAAGGAGTAATAGATTAAATCTAAGGGATCAAAGGAGACCTCATGGAAGGGGGTGTTTGAGATGCATATGAAGGGATGAGGAAAATTATGATATGCACAAGGATGGGGGCGATGGGGGGGGAGGTGTACATTTCCATCAGAACAACTGCATAAGCAAAGGCAATGGGGACAGAAAAACATCACTGGATTATTCAGGGAACAAAGCTTGATAGAACCTGAATGAAGTAAAGGTAACGTGTAGGGTTGTAACGAGCAAGCAGAGGAAAAGTTTAGTTGTAATCCATGTTACAGAGGACCTTGCATGCCAGGCTAAGAACTTTGTACCCAATATTAAAAGCAATGGAGAGCAGGTGAAGCTTCCTGAAAATGTAATTGGAATTATACTCTAAGGTTTGAGGTAGTTTTATTAATAAAAATGCAAAGTTTTGAGCCAGGCTTGTTATGTCAGAATTAAGTGTAATGTGGTGATCAACAGCTTAAGTTTTAGAGTCCTGTGAACGTGGGATCTGATTCACCACCTACGTGCTGTAGAATCCCGGACATATCAGTTAACTTCTCAGATCACATTAGTCTCATCATATTTAGTCCCTCATAATATGAAGGTAACAAACCCTACATCAACTGTTTTTAGGTTTACAAAAGATAATGGTCATAAAGTACTTATTATCCTACTTACATAATGGATAGCTATTATTATAATAATAATTATTATTATGTTTTATTAGAACCTAAAACACTTACTTAGTTTGAAGCATAATATGGAGATATTTTGCCTTAGCTGGTATGATAATATACATATTTCTTGAAACAATTGAGATAATACAGAGTTCATGCTTTGAAATTTCCATGTATACACTATTAAGCTGGCCCTTTGTGTTAATATAACATACCATATATTCAAATATTTTTCTTATAATAATAGACACACATGTATGTTTTATTTGATCCAACAATTAAAATTGGTTGTATTTAATACCAGATACCAATAATGACCTAAATCTACATAATATTTTTTTCCTATTTCCCCAAAGATATTTCTGTAGATACGCATGTTTAAATAAATGTTGCCAGTTTAATATGACTTACAGCATTGTTATAAATTACTTCAGAATAGGCCTTTAGCCTTCATTGTCACATATCTGCTTCTGAAGGAGTAGTTTTCAACCTCAGATATACATAGGAATCACTTTGGGAGTTTTCAGAAATTCTGATGCCCGGCTTATATCCTGATTGATTACCAGAACCTCTGATAGTGTGAACCACACTCCAAGATCTCTGTTGATTTCAATGCAATCAAATCTGCAAATCAATGACTTAAATTGGTAGTATGGCTTTCAGATCAACAGTCGGGTAAGAACATAGAGCGAATGGGGTGAAGCCCGCAAAGGGGTAAGGGTAAGCAGTTGATGATGGATCTCCCAGTGACTGGGCATCAATCAAACCTCAATCCAACCATTTTTACTCAGTGCCTATTATCTGCAAAGCATGGTACTGCAAAGCATACATGAAAAGTACAAGACAAACACATACCATTAAAGTAACATAGGCTAGACTCCACTGTATGAACAACACTAGAGTTAAAAGTCAGTAGAGTATAACATTAGAGATGAAAATGTCAAGATTCTGAGGTGTAGAGGTAGAGTGAATTCATTTCCCAGCACTTTTTTCTTGGACCCGGGTCCCCAAAGGCCTATGCTTATTTCCACCTACAGGCATTCCCTTCTCCCTCCACATCTGCAATGCCTCGCCTCTAACTCTGCTACCAAGAGCCTCATGATCAAGAAGCCCTTGGCTTCCCCTCTGCATTTGTTCTCACACAAAGTGTTTCTGAAGCCTTTGTTGCAGTTCACGCCTGCCTTCAGTTCTCTCTCAGTCTGAGCTTCTGCATCTATCCCCAGCCCTTCAGTCTCTGGGCTCTGGTAATCACAGCATTGAATTTCCTTTTGAAGGGTGTGCTAGGCTTTAGACCACCAGGACCTCATCAGCCATCTTCTGCTAAGATCAGTTACCTGGAGAATGCTCTTGGCCTTGGCAGTGCAAGAGAATAAAGAATATGTAAAAAAAAACCCAAAACCTTCCTATGTTAATCATAAGAGCTTAGTTTTCCCTCTCATCAGTATGACAGTCTCGAGCCGACTGGAAGTAGAACAGAAACAATGAATTCTGTGTTAACATCACGAAAGTTATGTGAATAGCACATTACTTCTGAACCCTGGTTTGGTCTTTTAGAGTGGGCCTATCAGAGTTGACTTCCAGTGGAGATAAAATTGATTCCCTGTCACTGCAAGCACTTACAGCATGCAGGCCCATAATAGAGGCATGATAGATGCTGGCTGAATTGAATTCCCTAGTCTTAGAGAAATACTGTCACTGAAAGAGAATATAGTTAATTCTCATAAGACATGAAGTATTGCTTCCAAGTTCTTATTGACATATCTGAGTCGAGTGGATTAAAATACCTACTTGACTATACAATTAATGATCTGTGTTATTTTATTTCATTTTCCCATGCAGGTTACCAGGGCTGATTCCAGGCAGAATTCTGAATTCAGAAGACTACATCTTCATTTTCTCCCCTCGTGTGACCTGACACTTGTTCCTTGGTTAGAGACCACTGGGCTTTCCCCCTTTCTTCACTCCATCTATGTATACAAATGTTCAGGTCTGAATCCCCATTCACCCTAGACAATTCCTGCTACTTCCTCAAAATTGACTAATAAGATAAATAGTAGACAGACCATTTGTTTAATGAAACCCAATCTGGCTAATGTGTTCTTGGGAAAAGGTAAAAGCCCCAAATCCCCTTTCCTCAATAACTCAATTACACTTATTTATTATCTTCTTGATGCCACACCTTTGCCTAAACTCGAAGGAGTAATTTTTTTATAATGAGACTTTCAAGTCAGAAGAAAGAAAGTGAGGGTCTCTTTATAGAAAAGGGAAGGTGAAGGAAGGGAGTTAGTGTTGAGCAATTACTCTGGGCTGGTAACTTTGCTATAAGCTAAATACACATGGTTTCGTTAGATCTGCTGCACACCATCCAGTGAGAGAGGTGCTGCTGTTATCCTGATTTTACACGTGGGGAAACTGAGACTCCAGAGAGGTTAAGTGACCTCCCCAAGGTGAAACAGTGAGCAAATAGTGAAACTGGATCCACATTCTCTCCACTCTGTCTTCCTGTGTCCTGGAGCTGAACTGCTTTCCAGGTTTCAGAGTGAGGCCCGCCAGTGCTGTAAGGAATACAGACGAGGCCAAGCCTGCCATCTTCCAGTAACCAGTCTCTCTTGGTGCATGTGGGGCTCCCACCTGTGAGTCTTTGCCTGCCTTTACGGTGGGACTAGGCGCAAAGCCGAGCTCCTCTGCTTGACACGTAGCTGCATGCTGTGGTGCAGTGTGCCCACATGTGCTGAGGGTGTAGGAGGCACATGCCATGGAGCATTCGCATCTGGCAGCTCTGTGTTGGTGCAGAAAGGACAAAAGGATCCGTGATCCTTGTTTTGGAGACTTTGAAAGTCAGTTAAAAGAAAGGCCTATCCTGGCTTTACTAGGAAGCTACTTTAGTTAAGCCTGAGGTTGCTGCCCGTCCAGTGGGATGTGAAGCAGTGCATGCAGGGGCACGCATGCCATGTATGGCAGCGTTTGTGAACTCTAGAGCCCAAGCAGGGGCACGCATGCCGTGTATGACAGCGTTTGTGAACACTCGAGCCCAGGCGCAGTGAGCACTTTCCCGAGGACATCATGGAGGTAGGGAGTCACGTCTTACAGCCTCCATTTATATGGCACTATCCCCAGCTCACTGTCACCACAGTTCTTCTGAATCTGCCAGGCACTCCTGTCCCCTCCCGGATTACCCTCTCATTATTCTCTAGACAGCAGTTGTTTCAGGTTTTTGCTTTGAAAGTAGGTGAATCGTCAAACTTGGACAGCACCCAAATTCAAGAGAAGGGTGCAGACCACCCTGCTTATTTGGGGCTTCCCAAGCTCCTGTACCTCCTCTGTCTTCACAGCCCTTTTGCCCTGCTACACAGATGCACTATTGGACCTATCCCGCTGACCCCCGCCTGGTGACAATCGGACCTCACCAATCAGCTATTTGTTTTCACTTATGAAACTGCAATGACACAATATTTGCAATCTTTTGGAGTGTGTGTCATCTAAGCAAGCATGAAAAAAGAGAGTCATGTTTACTCTCTCTGTATCATCCTGTTTCCCCGACCCTTCCTCAAGCTAGTGGCCAGGCTTTTTTCCAAGCAGCAAAAATTGAAGTTTCTGCTCGTTTCAGAAGCTTAGTTTTGTCATTATTGTTGTTAAAACTAAGCTCAGAGAAGAGATTTTCCTGGGTGTTCTGAGAGGGAAGTTGGGGAGATGTTTGCAGAGAGAGGAATAGTTAGAATGTTGGTAGGGGCTTGTGGCTCATTGCTGGTATTGTCCTGGGGTGGGGACAACATTTCAGAGGCTTAGGTGCTTCCAGGCAGAAGCAGTAGGGTCTTGGGATATGAAGAAATTCTTTGGGTTAGGAGACTGGGCATCTCTGGTAACCAGAGCATATCAGTTACTAGAGGAAAGTCCCAGATATCACATCACGTAAAAAAGATAATGATGGTGGCAGTGAATTAAATACTTACTGCATATTTAAGTGCCAGGCATTATCCCAAGAACTTTGTATGTAGCAACTCATCTAACTGTCTGATAACCCTGAGGTAGATGCTCTCATTATCTCCAGTGATTGTGAGAGAGGTTAAGTAAGTTACCCAGTGTCGCACACTTGTAAGTGGCAGAACCAAGACACTACAAATCTAGGTAGTGTAGTTCCAGAACCTTCAAAGAACATAGTTTCTGACCTCTCTAAATGACACTGGAGACCTTTCATGAACTTGAGTTGGAGGTGGCAGCGAATAGGAGGAAGTTCCCACCACCTAGTGGGACAGAGATTTAGTTTCATTTAGGTTCTTAGAAAGAAAATAAAGAAATACGACACTTCTTGTATTCCTGGTTTGTGCACCAAGATTCAAACACTTTTCATATATAAAATAACTTATTTTCTAAACATTAGCATTACCACCAACAAACACAAGGGAGGAGTGGACTTCAGAGCACACGACTAGTTTAATCGTGCATACTTTGTTCTCTCCTCAGGCCTGCTGACTCTCCCTAGCTGTGTGGCTCTCTTGAGAGACCTCTCCCCACTGAGACCTACAGGGGAAGCACAGCTGGATGGGAAGTGAGCTGTGTGTCCCTGAAGATGATTGCCATGGCAACCCCATGAAAGAGGGCCGGGTGATGCTGCGGTGGGGAGGTGGGCGGGCCTCTGTAGAGACATGCACAAATGCATGTGCATCGATTAGACAATTCCCGGTGTTTTTCAGTATTTGAAATATATCATTATATTAAAACAAAATAAAACAAAAAACACCTTTTGAAGAAAATTCCCCTCCTTTCATTACCAGCTAGAGGGCATGATTTAGATAGTATTTTCCAAGGAGAAATGACAGAGGAGGGATAATTTAGATACTCCAGGCAGCTATGATTTCAGACTGGCTGGGAGCTGTGGGATGAACCGTGAGGGAGAGGGGGCAGCTACATGAATTTTCTTGCAATTCTTTGAATAGATCAGGTTTTTCTTACCTCTGTCTCTCTGTATTTGTTGGGCCTTTTGTCTTAAAATCTCTTTCTCTATGCTTCTCACCATGAGCTTCTCCTCATCCTTCATGCCTCAGTTCAAAGTCACTTCAGGCAGCCTTTCCTGACTACACCTTCTGAAGTAGGTCTCTTCCTGTTCTGTCTCTCAGGATCCTGCTTTGTGCCCTCCATTGTACTATTATAATCCTAAACATTTTATTTGCTTCATTTTTAATCAAGCTATTTATTTGATTGGATTTGCCCTCTCCCTGTTACCCTCCTGTCATGAAAGCCCCATGGGGTTAGAGACCATGTTTGTTTTACTCACCCCTGTACTCAGCACAGTGTTTAGCACAGAGAATGTCATTTTTTCATATTTGTTGGAGAGTGTATGAATGAAATCCACGTGGTAGTGCTGCACTTGAAAAACGCCTCTATGCTTACATTCACTTTGCTTCAAGAGAATTCTTTTCCCATTACCATCTTGATTTGAGCCTTAGGCTTCAGCTCCATGGACGTTGACTCGGTTTGCTCTGTGTCAACCTGATTCTCCACCACAGGTCTCTTTTTATTCTGGTTTTGGCCATTTAAACTGCTTTTTCCTAACTTCTGCTGCTTCCATTCTTAACAAGAGCTCCTGTTGTTGTCACTTGACTTGACTGGGTCTTCCTTTTTTCCTCTCCTTTAAACTCCCTTAGCAGATGAGTTCCAACTAAAATAAAAGTAATTTAATTGAACAAAATTAAGCTATATTCCCACAAAAGAAAAACAAGAAGCAGATCCTGGCATAATTTGATATTAGGGTTTCAGTCCCAGGCAAGTTCACTCTGGATTTGGTGAGAGCAAATAACAATAATGGAACATTGCAGGTGAAAGGGTTTATACCAAGCTTTATTCTCATGGTGGCAGGTTGAGTGTCAGAGTCACGTCTGCCTTCGGCAAGTCAGCAATCGGTCTCCATCTCTGCAGAGCACTGGGCGGAGCTCTTTGTATAGTAACACCAACAATAATGGCTCTTTGCCAATGGGTGTGTAAGCATTAACCTAGTGGTAGGCCAATTACATCATCAAGCAAATTAGAGTCAGGTGAGGATCCTGGCCCTGGGACTTCCATTTTCCCTACACTCCATCCCTCCAGGATTTTCACCTTAAAATCTATTATACACTCTCAGTCTTCCATGGTGGTCCCTGTGAGAGAAAGCTGGAGCACTGTAACCAGATTCCACAACAGCAACAGAGCATTAGCAACAACATAGAGATAAAAAGTGTGGTACATTTGACAAAAATTATAATAACCCTCAAGCCTTAGATGGAGTGCCACCAAGTGGTCATTCCAGCTGTATTCAAACTGCTTCTACTCAGTTGAGTTAGGGATTTATACTTCCCACGGGAGGCCAGCAGTGGAAATGGTAGGGAGCTCCCTGCACACCCAGCAAGCAGCAGGTTTGCTAGGAGGCATGCCCAATCCACAAAGACATTAGAGATTAACCTTAAGGGTGATAAGACATATGTTTTAATGACACTAATATAGGCGACTCTTGTCCATTAGGTAGGATGCATTCAAGAGAGTGGTCTTGTGATAGGACTGTGGCAGGAAGAGGGTCCTGTCTTGGTCTAGTATCCCATACTTTTACCCCTCTCTGTGGGAGTTATTGAGGGGTCTATGTATAGTGCTACTGGAGGTACATGCACTGGCCATAGAAATAAAACAAAACTCCCCAGAAAGATATTCTTACCTTCCAGCTGTTTAGGGTACACTACCATGATCCTTAGGGGTGACTTTGCTGTTACTCCAAGAATACACAGAAGGCCAGCATCCAGGTGTTACCCCAAGGTGCCAGGTGGGCCAGCCATTGTTAGTCCATGGATTGAAATGTTCAAGGCCACATACACTGAAGGGAGTCTCCATGGTTTATTGTAGTCAGTGCTGGTAGCAAGATATTATTCTTGTGGCCATATCCTGGCTTCAGTGATTTCTCCTTAGTTTATACTTGCAGTTGTATAGGGGAAGCAGCAACATGTATTAGCATGTTTACAGAGTTCAATGTCCCCTTCTGGGGCTTCTCACTCAAATGCTATAGCACCATCCATATGTGGACTGACAGTCTCCACATACTATTGGTGTCTGACTTCAGGCTAGATTTTAACAAGCCATTGTACCTCTCTATCATGCCTGCCCTGGTAGGATTATATGGTACACGAAATTTCCACTTTATTCCTAAGTGTTACACCCATTCTCATAGTGCATATTGAGTAAAATGGGTGCCTTACTCACTCTCAATTGCCTGTAGTCAGCCATAGGCTGCAAAGAGACACTGTAGTCTATTTGCCACCTGACAAGGGACATGAACCCCTTAGCTATCATCCCAGGTTGCTGTTGCTGTGGAACTATGTGTAAGTTCCTTTAAGAGTACCCAGTTCATTTCTTCCTGGCTTTGCTGACTTCTCCAAAGGTCAAAGGCAGGCTCCACCAATGGACTACAGCCCACATTGTTTTCTGTACCACATGCAACAAACGTTGATGTAACCATTGAGCCACACCTGAGGCAGGCTTTCCTTCTAGCCAATGTACCTGGCCAGTTTGTCTGCTTCACAGTTCCTGGGGATGCCAGTGGCAAATGGCCTATCACATGGCATACTGTAACTGCTTTAGTCTGACCAGAGGCCCATAAGCCTTGAGCCAACTCTTGCCCCCAAGGGATTGGTGACCAACCAACCAGTTGGCATGGTACCATGTCAGTAGCCACAGAGTTAAACCTTGAAAGATGGCCCAGCTGTCAGTGCAAGCAACTAGTGGGGAGGACTCCTGTCTGATCATGAGCCCTACTGCCTGCAACTCTGCCCATTGACTGCCCTTCCACTCACCATCTTCCATCCATATTGTCTAAGTCTTAGATGGAAAGCTACTTCCTTCCATTTTGGGGGCTGCCCATGACTGGAGCCGTCTGTGTGCCATGCATCAGCAAATATAGGGGTTCTTCCCTTCCAAAAAAGTCTCTCTGCTATTAATGGCTCTAAAGCAAATTCTCCATGCCTTTCACTGGTATATGTCACTTGCCTCAGTAAACATTGGAGTTCTCCAGGGGTCAGTTGAGTGTGATGATGCTGTAGGTATGTGCCCCACTTGGCCAGTGTAGGCATCTGTGCCATGCCACTCTGTGGCATTTAGGTCCAGTTCTGTACCCACCCCACAATGGGATAGGTGGTTATTACCTTTATCAAGGCCTTTCCAGTGATGGGCTCCATAGCCAGCAAGGCGAGGTACACAGCAGCCAATTGTTTCTCTGTTAAGGTGTACTGGACCTCTGCTCCTTTCCAGAGCTGTGACCAGAATCCAGTAGGTTGGCAAATTTGTACAAGCCGCTGACAAAAACCCCAGCCACAACCATCTTCAGTCACATGGGCATCCATCTCACAGGGCTTTGATGGGTCTATCATACTCAAGGCCTGCATGGCTTTGACAGACCATTTTGTTGCAGCAAAAGCAGATGTACATGTTTCAGGGCAGTCCCACCTGACACCCTTTTGTACCAAATGGTATAAGGGCTTTAGAATTTGTGATAAGTGTAGAATTAACACTCTCCAGTAGCCTAAAAAACCCTAAAACTCTTGTAATAATGCCACAATTGTAGGGGTAGGGAAGGCCTGGACTTTATCTATGACTGCTTCTGGGATAACTATAGTCTTACCTGACCAGATGACCCCCAAGAATTTGATTGACAAGCCAGGTCCCTGAACCTTTGTGCTGTACACAGCCCATCTTTTCTCCTGTAGATGTTGTAGCAGTCTAGGTGCTGCACCTTCTTGATTTGTAAAAGAATCAAAAGTAAGCATGATACCATCAACATAATGGTACAGTCACACTATTGGCAGTTTCTCCCATGCTGCCAAGTCCTGGGCTACGAGTCTGTGACAGATGGTGGGGCTGTGGAGGTATCCCTGTGGAAGGACATTGAAAGTCCATTGCCATCCTTCCCATGTGAAGGCAAACTGTTCCTGATTTTCCTCTGCTATGTCAATGGAAAAAGAAGGCATTAGCAAGGGTCACAACATAATTATTCCTAGTTCATGACTGAGGGTGTCCATAAGGGCTGCAATAGAGGAGACAACAGCATGCAGAGGGGGTATGACTTTATTCTCTGTAATCCATGTCATACGTCTCATACGTCAAGAGCCATTCAGCTTTTTTACTGGCCACACTGGGGAATTAAAAGGGGCTATGGGTGGGCTTTGTAATATCCTCCCTCTCCAGTTCCGGAAGGATTTCTCCAATTTCCTTATGCTCTCCAGGCAGTTTGTATTGTTTGGTATTAGTCACCCGCCAAGGCACAGGCAAAACTATGGGCGGGTGCTTTGCATGTCCCCTCAGAACTGCCTGCACCACACTTATCCTCAGTCTGAACTCACCTGTAGTGGTCTGCAACCATAGGCTTTGTAGGATGTCTGTCCCAAAATATATTTGGGGATGGGAGAGATATACACAGTATACTCCTTTGGGGGTAGATGCTATTCCCAGTGGTTTTTGTTTCACTCTGATAGCCTTACCCCTGTATCCATCTATAATGCTGAGGGTCTCAGGAAACCACTCAGGGTTGCCATAAATCAGTGAGCTTTCAGCATTTGTGTCTACCAGAGCC